GAATTTTCAAAATTTAGTCAGAAAGCTTGCATGGACAGCCTAAGTTTTCGATCGATTTCAATTCAAGCGAAACTTTCAATTACTAAAATAATTTATTAGGCGACATAAGTTTGAAGGAAGCCCTACAAATGATAGTAAATTTTAAACTTAAATTATATAAGCGAATTAAAGTCTACTGTAACGGGAAAAATATAAGGATACGGAAAAAATATAAAAGTAATATGAATTGGCGCCTTCAGCTGATATTTTCGATCCAAGCTTCATAAGAAGTAAATATGGAAACGAACCAGTGGAACTTTTCGGCAGACTGGTGTTAACGACAATAATAATAATGATAATATTAACAATGATGAAGAAAACAATGATTATGATTGTAATCACAAAATAGCAAAACAGCAACAAAGAAATAGAGAAAACAGGTTTGTCGGCTTACGTTTATCTTCAAACGTTAGCTTGTCATTAATAATACCGTTTCTAATTTGAATAAATAGAAAGTAGTTGCTTGCGCCTACATGAACAGAATACTCATTATATGTACTGAGTATATGGATAGCTTATATCTGTGGGAGATTAATGAAGAGGAATCGTGTTGCCCAACAGACATTGTGGAAAGGCTTCATTTCCTCGCGATCAATTAAAAAGACTTCAGATGCTTTTGTCTTTTGTCGACTCTTTCTTTAATGGAACGCCAACAATAGATAGGTTCATGTCTTGCATTCAGTCTAGACGAGAGCAAATTCTGAAATTTCCACATAATTTATTCACCCGTACCATGTTTAATAGTTTAACTGACGTCTTTACCCTTGAGACAATGGCTACAATAAGATTCGTAAAATAAGCGCCTAACAAAAAGTGCAGTATCTTAAAGTAATGATAAGCGGGCTCGCAAAACAAAACCAATGTCCACTTGACAGCAACAGATAATGATATAACAAAACATCCATGAAATGATGTTTTATTTCCTTGTGGCCATGGCATGCAGGTGACAAGAGAGGCAGTGTCCTGAATCATGGATTTTTACTCCTGGAACATCGTCCTTACCACGTCTTTTGGAATACTAGCGACATTGATCGTTATTGGAAATACCCTCACCATCTGGATATTCTTCAAACAGAGACGTCGTAAACGCGCTTATTATCTTCTCATCAGCTTGGCTGTTGCTGATTTACTGGTGGGAGTTATCACTGTCCCACTTTATATAACTCTAATGGTAACAAATCATTGGCTTGTTATTTACACTGGGACTGACGTTCTTACGGGTATAGCGTCCATTTATACGATTGCCGCGATTTCCTTGGAGAGAATGTACGCCATCGGTTGGCCTCTTCGTCACAGGACTGCAAGCTTTCGTTTTCATGTGTGTGCCATCACCATACCGTGGATCGCTGCGGGAATACTCACATTTTTAGTGGTGGCTCGATTCTTTTTTATCACAGAGCAGCAGATCTATCGTTACCTATTGACTTTTTATCTAGGGACCCCTCTTTTGGTCATTTGCGTAGCAAACTTTGTTATTTGGAGAAAGCAAAAATCTCCTTTCGAGAATAATAATCATATAAATATAGAAGTCAAGTTAACAAAAACATTATTGTTGATAACAGGAGCTTCTCTTTTTACTTGGCTTCCATTTCAAATTGTAAATTTCTTGTTTGAATTGGACGTCCACATAGTTATTTCCCCTAACGTTTGGTTCATGACAAGATTTATAATCAAGTTTTTACAATTTAGCAATTCTCTCGTAAACGCAATAATTTATGCGTTCAGAATTCCAGAATTTAAGAATGCTCTCCTGAAGACCTTTCGCTGCTGTTAAGTTTCTGTCGTTTGGAGCTTTGAGGCATCTTCAAGGGCTGTGTGTGGGACTGGTGTACAAATGGATTTCAAAGGTAACGACTTTTATCTAGCCAATGATAAAATGATATTTTATCTAGCCAATGATACCTGCCTCGTGGGCAAAAAATCAAACTTGCTGTACAGCGAAAAGTGAATCATATCAGAACGTTAGGACTAGTATATGGCACGTTATACATTTCAAGCAGAAGGTGCAAACGGCGAATATGTAATTTTTTTTTCACAAAGGTGTAAATTATTAAGTAAAGATTTATAACTAATCAATAATGATATTAAATGCGATTCTTCGATCTAAGCTGCCTTTATAGATAAAAAATAATGTTTGCGGTGCATTTTCATTTAAAAACAAAACAAAAATAAAACGAAACGAAAAAGAAAAAGAGAAACTTATTTAATCGAATAATTGTTTATTGCGCTTGTACACCCATGACGGAATGTTGCAACTCTTCAGCATTAAATAGTGAATCCTAGTCATTTTTTAATGATGAGTGCCTTAACAATTTCACCGTAGTTTGGTATCAGTGACTGTTTCAGTTTAAAGAGATGTTACTTATCCCTTGTCAGTTTCGTAAACTGTTTTTTAAACAGGTCCCTATAAAGCATTTTAGGATAATACCAATTACATACTAGGAAGGTAGCCTTAATAAGATATTCGCGTTCTATCACAAACGCTGCAATTTGATTGGCTGCGCTAATCTATTCCGTAACAGCCGGATAGTGATTAAAGAGATTGGCCAAACAGTGTACAGTTGTAAACAAACGAAAATTAAAACTTGAACCTGTCTTGTTATTAAATTTCGAAAGATGGTCAAGTAGTTTTCCAAAAACGTGTATATTATACCCTCTCGCAATCTCTGCGTGATAGTTGATTCGGGCCTCTTCAATTATCACACGTTAGAAACCTCGCGCTCAAAATCTGATTTATTTATTTTTAGTTATTTGATTATCTATTTTCGATATTTATACGGGGTGGCTCGGTTCAACTGGTTTAAATGGATGTCTGTCACAATAACAAGGCCAAGTCTTATCATCAGAGACTATGTTCCCAACTATTTGCGAAAAAGAAGGTGGATTATCAGTTATTTAACGTCCCTTGCAAGCCAGTGCAGAAAAAATGAAGACGATGCCGACGGTTTATCGCCATTATCCGAGAAGACTCGAATGTCTATCGTTTACGAATGTCACAGCAAAGGCAGCATATTTTCGTCAGTTATTTTTAAAGTGTTGTTCCGGTCTGGGGCTTGAACCCTCGGTGTCCCGCAAGGCATTACGGTATTTTAAAACACGAGGTCAAAGTGTAGGGTAAAGGGAGATACACATGGACTAAATTTCACCTGAAAGACTATTCTTAGTTTTATTTGACTGGTTACGGGTGGATAACTGTATACGAACAGGCCGTTAAGACTCAGTAAAGGATATGACCATTACCGCTTAATACAGGTGAAATTACCGTAAGTAAGGGAAAATAAAAGATTCGGATCTTTTAAAACCGATCTCTTTATACAGGGTGACCGTTTAATACGGGTTCCACAGAATAGGAGTATTAAAAACGCCATGTTTTGCCATAATTGACTACTTAATTTACAAGAACTCGCTCAAAAATTCTACTAACATTGCCTTCGGGAGATACACATGGACTAAATTTCACCTGAAAGATTATTCTTAGTTTTTTTTGACTGGTTGCACTTCAAGGGACCATGGATACAGGTGGAGAACTATATACAAACAGGCCGTTGGGACTCAGTAAAAGATATGGCCAATACCGCTTAACACAGGTCAAATTACATTAAATAAGGGGAAAAAAAAAAGACTCGGATCTTTTAAAACCGACCTCTTTATACACGGTGACCGTTTAATACGGTTAATACAGGATCGACTGAATGCTGTAATGATTTATTCTTGTTTTCTCTTCACCATATTCCCAACCAATAGCGTAGCTCCATTTTCTGCTTAAAAACGCACACACAACCCACAATTCCTCCAATCGCTCTGACGAAGGGCTAACGCCCGAAACGTCAGCTTTCAAGAGTAATAGTCTAAGGTTCGAACTTTTAAAAAAAATCGCGTCCACTTAACCTTACTGATTTGGCTGAAATTTGGCATGAAGGCTAATTTTTATGTCCTAACCACGAAATGGGTATTAAAAAGTTACAGTTGTTTTCGCTTGGCAAAAAATCGATAAAGCCGACCAAGTCCGCCCATACTTGCCCGCCAGCATGGCGTATCGAAGTTGTTCTTATGACTTCGACTCCAGTCCTGTCGTAAAGATTTCCTGAAATATCTTGAAATAAATAAAAAGATCTACCCCTTTTTCTTAACATTTACTGGAAAAAATGTGGGAGATGACAGATTTTGATTACAGGTTATCTCAACGTTCGACGGTCGTTTTGCGCCGCCTTGAACAGTAACAAATATTTGTTTATGGATGGGGAAATTTAAAGGTCAAAAAAGGAAAGTTATTAATCTATGATGAGTTAGCTATATTTGGGACCAGCTCCTAAATCAGCTTACCGGTCGGAAATAAAGTCCAAGTACTTATTTCGTCCAGAATGAAAGCAAATTCCAGAAGTTTTCCTAATATTACAGAAGTATCTGTTGATTTTGGGAAGAAGCAAATATGTCTGGGTGACATTGTCGCAATGGGATAAATATTTGGTTACCCAATGAATATAAACAATCGATCCGGTATTAACGCTCGGAAGGGTTGATTTCGCTTACCGTTTTGAGAACGAAAAATTTCGAAAAAGAAAAGATTCTTGTGAATTCCAAAGTAATTCATTCGGTGGTGATTGGTGACTTGCTCAGAATCAGAGCCTAAAAGCTACATTTGCGGTTGATCCTTGTCACGCCAACGGTTTAGATATCCTTCGTTAGCTATTACGTAAATTACATCATGTTTTTGAGTAGGTCTTAGTTTCGTTTTTCGCATGTTTCAATGTTCTTATCAGTATAAAGGAAATCCAACCTTTCAGGATACTTCCTTGCAATTTTTTTTTTTTCACCAACAGTGGGCGCAAAATGCACACATGAAGCGCCCTCACTAAGGGCACAAACATGAGTGTAGTTCGAAATAAACGTCACCTCGTTGGAATGCGCGCGCAATCGCTAATTGAGTTTGCTCTAAGATCTATTTTGCTTTGAAAGGCTGTTCGTGAAGGATAGTTTTCTTCTTTCGATGGCTTTAAACAAGCTCTACACTTAATCTATATGAAAAACGAAACTATGAATTCGAATTCAGAATCCTTGTTCATCACTGAGCTGTCAGTTGTAGCGAAAACAGAAGTTAAGACCCAAGACCTAAGAAAGCATATTTCATTTATTTTTTGATGGCAATGAGAGGAGTACGGAAGCCGAAAAGGGACAATCCAAAAATATTTTGCAAATCCGAAAAAATATTCAGAATGACTATCTTTTAAACAAATCGCTTTTGAAAAGTTTGTCAAATCGACAAAACAAATTCAAATCCGTGA